AATCCGTTGTACTGTAGCTCTGTCACTGCAAATTTCACAAATAGGTGAAACCACCTCTGTATATTATGAGAGCTTTGTGTTTCCAAATGTGTTTCCAAGGACAACCAGTGTTGATTCTATACAAAAGCAGGGCTGGAATGGGCTGCAGGGTGTCCGTCCTGGAGTTGAGCCAACTTTTAGTTAACCCAACCTATATCTCAACTCGAGTTGGTGACTGGCTGAAGTCATAAAAGACTGCAGGTACAACAGGTAGAGGTGCCGCCTGAAACACATGGGGGGAGGTTGGGCTGGAGCCCAAGGGCAGGTGCGATTGAGGCATATCAGAAGCCGAGGCCAAGACATCGGGAGACATGGGATGACAAGATCTGGGAGGAGGTGGTGGGGCATAGGGGAAAGTGAGTGTTGGGGTTGTGACAGTTTACCCCCATGGTGATTTTAGGAGTCGTTGCAATTCAAGGTCTTCGTTTGATTTAAATATTTAATGCAGCAGCCTGTAGCAGCTGTAGCGTTCACACAAAACATGGACAAATAGAACAACATTGTTTCTTAAGCACACCATTCAGGAATTCAGGGCAGTTAAATTAATTGTATTGCAATTGTAATTGGGCCCAGGAATGTATTGATAAGTGATATTGTGGCATGTTCTCATAAGAGCAAAATCTCCCACAATGCAATGTTTCATCAACATTTTATAACAATTTATATATATCTTAAATTTTGTTAATTTATAAATGTTTGACAATTGAAGGGTGTGTCTGTCATTCAGTTGCTATTATTTGGCATCTATTCATATGGCTATTTAAAGACTGGTCATCAGAAAACATTATTAAACGTTCTAATCAAGCCTTATGGTGTTAAGTGCAGTCTCCAAACGCATCCACTCTCACTCTCTGGCATCTGTAGTAATGTGCTATGAAGAAGGGGCATTGTCCGAAACATACGTTATTAATTAATGTGTTTTTATTGAATGCATATATTATGAGCTACAATAACTAACATTATTGCGAGAATTGAAACGTACATGTAAATGTGAGGTCTTTACTATAATTACTTGTGAGGTGGTTCATATGAAGCTGATAATTGGTTCTTTACCCTTCTATCTGGCAACAAAACTGACACCTTTTTACAAGGAGTCATGTTTGCATAGATACAAACAAAAGACATCACTCTGATAATGTGCACTGACAGTGCACATTATCAGAGTTATGTCTTTGTTTGTATTTATGACTGCAGGTATTGCGGTCTATGCAAACATGACTCCTTGTAAAAAGGTGTCAGTTTTGTTGCCAGATAGAAGGGTAAAGAACCAATTATCATATTTTTACTGGCAAATGAGGTCCCCATAGTGTCATATGAAGCTCTTTAAGAATGCCTAACTGCTTTTGGTTTTAGGTCTGTACAGGTATCCCTCGATTTGCATTGGGTTTACGAAATGTCGCGTTAACGCAATTGACAACGACGGACACTTTATGATTGACGAAATCGAATTTCCGTGCGAACGAAATTTCACGCGGCACGCGCGGCGAGATCAAACAAGAAGCTCCCGGGAGGCTGCGTCGTCTTCCATCCTCGGCAGTGTCGCGGTGTCCCTGCAGTGCAACAGGAATGCCTCCCCACGTCACCTTTCCAGGCATTCCAACATGCACAAATAAACCGTTTTGAGTTCCCTGAAAAGGTATTTTTATTATTATTATTCAATTGTTTTAATAATTAAGTTCTTTATTATTTTTGTATTGTGAAAAGTGATGTAGGTGCATATTTTTAGGTTCAGAGTCTTCGTCGGAATAACTGTCCGAAACACATCTCAAATTGTTTTGTTCTAAATTCATATTAAAAGCTCTTTTGATTTACGAAATGTTGTTTAACGCGTGCGTGTTTTTCAAGAACGTATCCCTCTCATACATCGAGGGATACCTGTATTCCACATTTCCTCTGAAGTCAATTGTACCAGACGACTTTAAGGTCACCCACCCAGCAATGACTCACGTTTTCTACAGGCACTGGGTAGCCTTACTCTTGCCGAAGCTGAATCCTTAGCTGCAGTTAATGACCTTGAGAAACTTGTTAACCAAAATCCCTGATATAACTCTTGGTATGTGTTTGATCTCACCGACCAATTTCTTCTATTTTTTTTTACATCTATGCTTTTTTACCGCGAAGCCAACCTGATAGTTATATCATCATATTTAAATATATCACACTGTATCAAAGCCACAACTTATAGCTATAGATTTGTAATTACTAATCTGCTTACCAACGGCATCTTGAACACATTTTTATCTCATATTCCTGGTATAAACTCTGCTTTGGTGCCTCAATTGCGAATCAGAAACACTGACACAATTATGTCTGGGATGGTTGGATTTATCTTGGCCTCTATTCAGGCTGGGAAATCGAGCCCAGCTCCTTAACTCCACTGTAGTGATCTAACATTGTCTGTAACAAGAACTTTACATGCAAAGGTTGGTGGAATAATCCTGATAGACGTTGCACCTCTTTACATAACTGCGTGTATCAACTACGTAACTTGTATTATATTTTAAAAAGCAAGAAATGTAAATCTGCTCTCCGGCTTTACCTACAATCTGTCATGTTATGAATTTTCAATTCTGATCACATGCACTTCTCTCTGGTTATAATATCATGCATCTACTCGTAGAAAGCCTTACCTTCCCAGACCTGATGCTGCCCATCCTTTTGCCATTATATCAAACGATGCAATTAACAATCCCAACTTACCTGAGTTTATCATTTATAGCATTTATCCATAATGGGTGATATTGGATATTGGTCGCAAAAGCCTACGTGTTAAACTATAGCATTTATGTTCACAAATGATCATCCTTTCTGGCCCATTGCAAGAGGGTTAGCGTATTCCAATACCTTACTCTTGTTGAGGCCTCACTACCAATGCGATAAACTCTTTCGAAATCCCCTTCATTGTATCCATCACTCAGTACTGCATCCTCATCTGAGGAATCAAATAATAAAGTAATAAACTGGAAAGTAATGCCTTCCAGCACACGCTAATTTGCATAATGTTCCCACAATATGGTCAAAATGTAGACTATATAAGAAATGTTATATAACTAGCTTTATAATAGTGGTTTCATACTTTTTTCCTTTATTAAAGTATAGTTTCAAATAAAAATGTATCCACTTCATGACAAGGATAATGTGCAGGTGCTTGGATATACACTTTTGTTAATATCTGAAATGTTAAGCATCGAGGAAAAGACAGATCCAATTTACAGGCTGTCACAGGTATTTTCGATTTGAAATGCATTACAATATATTATCTGGAACTGAATCAATCACAATGAAATATTAAAACCGTAACAGTATAGTGATAATAGTTGTTATGGAAAACAAGATCGATTTAGTAGAACAGAATTGTTGCTACTTTCCATAAATGAAAGTTTAGGGAGGCAGCCTCAAAGGGCAATATTACCATGCAGTCAATTGCCCCATATCTAAGGTGACTCTACAATCGTATCCACCTGAATCAATGTTTGGTGTTGTATGTCAGTTCCGAGAACAATCACGTCGGTAATGCTGACGAGCAGTGCAAGAAGACGACCTCCAGCAACAAGTAGCAGCCTCCAACTCTGGAGGAACATTTATACATCGGGGATGTCACTGTATGGTGCCGGCCCGGGAGGGCCGTGGCGTGCGATGTTCCTACGTCGCGGACAGCACTGGGTGGGTTGCTGTGTGAGGCCGGCTCTAGCACAGCACGGCGTGCGATGCACTGTCATCGCGTACACCCCGTAGGCGGGTGTAGTACCAGCCCTAGCGGGGCTTGGTGAGCGCTGGGATAGTGAGGGCACCACGCATAGCGTGCAGTGAGGGCTCCCACAAGGGTGAGCGGGAGAGTGTCAGCCCAGGGACGGGGTTGCCCCGGGCCATGGCACTCTGGTTGACCCCGTAGACACGTGATCTGGAGTGTCCACAGAGGAGGCCCCAGGTGGGGAGCTAGGGGGTGATCACGTGTCCAGGGAGAGCTCTCGAGAGGGAGCTAGAATGCTCGAGAAGGTGGGCGGGGCCGAGGGCGGAGCCAGCCCTGACCCGGGAGGATATAAGGTGGGTCCCTGAGAGGGACCAGGGTCGCTTTGTTCTGCAAGCTGGAAGCTCCACGTCCTACACGGCATCAACACGTGGCCGGGGACCCGAATGAGGGTCCGACCCTTCGTAGCTGTAACGCCTCCGTATAGTGTAGTTAGCTGGGTGGTCACCACCCCAGGCTGTATCTGGTAAAGGGGCATTTACCCCTTTGTATATACGTGTTACAATAAATGTTTTGCCTCTGAAGAATAACGTCTGCGACTCAGTTAGACTCACTACACATGTTCCATCAGATAATCTAATTGCAGTAATTAAGAGTTGGTAAATTGCGTGTAAAATACAAGCAAGCACTAGTAAACAGAATGTTTAAGATTAATTCTGTGTCCATGCCACAGATACTTTAAATATCCACGTAGCCACATTTCATCATGGTTGTTTATGTAACCCGTGTAATTGAAGACAGAGTGGTGCGATCTCGTCAGCATTTGTTGACTGTGCCAAACATGGTTCACTTGAAGGCCACATCGTGCTCAGAGGTGTTCTGAAAAGTCCCACCCAGGTGTATGGATTAATAATAGAGCACTCGGTAACATTTGCCACACAAGCTTGTATGAACACACCCGTATGGGCGATTTTAATGGGCCGACACCAACTTTACCCCACGTAAATTGCAAATAATACAAGTACTCCATGGACCACATATAACTCACACATCTGTGCATGTGGACATTTACAATATGTTTGGTACACCTGTGTGGAGGCTCCAAATAAACACGTGACTCAATATACACATTATCTACATGGAGTCCTTTTGCCATATCCACGTAATTGCTATGGTATGGCGCATCCACATTTTCTGAAAATGTGAACAGATATTACAAGAACATGTAGGCACTTAATTTCACATGAACAATAAATCACGACCAGTACAGGCATATGGAGGACACTTAACATACATACATCTTTATTGGAGAATTAAATATGGTACACTTTATTAGGCTGGAGGTCACAGATTCTAATGGAAATAGAGGCTAAGGAAATGCATGCGCAATCACCGAGACAGAATAGAATCACACTGCACATGGGCCATGTTTTATACAGCAGGAATGTTACCATCAGAAGGGGAAAAAATTCAAGGCCCAAAGGGATTTTGCAACTCCACCAACTTTGTTGAGGTGTTAAATAATAACTGACCTTAATTGCACTGTCAGAATGAATGATCGTCTCTTCGTTGGTAAACACTGGGCAATGCAAATGCTGAGATATATAGACTTAAGGTATAGCCAAATATATAATGGCTTTCGTGATATTATGTACTACATGAATATTTATACATTATATCGTCTAGATGTCGTCCATATAGACGTGTGTACATATACTGTATGTGTGGCCAGAATCACGGCTTAATTGGTCTGCCTCATTCAGAGGCATGGTTTCTACACTGGTGCCATGCCATCCTACCAATCCCACCACTGTGTCTGGCTTGACTGTCATCTGCGGTGGAAAGGTGGGCTCCACACATTGCACGTTGTGGAAAGGCACAAAACACAAGACATGAGCTGATCCTCAATTGGAAGGAGGCTGCCAGTGGACGCGTCAACCGCTACTTCACACCAACGCAAGAATTGGGCCCTCATTTACGTGGGTTGACACCGGGCTAGAAAGTAAACAGTACATTGGATTAAAGATGTAATTATACTTTGTGATGCAAATTTGAGTTATATGTCTGCATGAACATTTTGTTTCTTATGTTTAACAAATCTTGCCCACTGCATATTTACGTTTATACAAACATTTAATTGTGCTTTATACAGGCAATCAGATATCACGCACCTTCATCTAATATTATGCCCACAAGCTGATAGAGTCTATATTAATAGGACAGCACATTGTTCATTGCACATATGGATATAACACACGGTTTTTTTTCAATGCCACTTACAAATATATCAGAAACAGTATTCCTAAATATCCAACATCTAATTGAAGTTATTAACTCTGCTGGTAGCAGTGGGCGGCCCTTTGTATTACTGCAATGTGGCTGCAGTGGCTACAAAGGGACAGGGAGTTTAAAGGTGCACTGCTTAAACATTTTACAACACATCCAGCAGTAGAGACAAATGCAGAAGCATAGACAATGTCTAATGATTCATGTAATTGCTTTCAAAGAAGATTCAACAAAACACCACCTATATTACAGGATTTGACACTCACTTCAACAATAGCAACAGATACACACATAAATCAAAAAGCAGATAACAAAAATAAACCTTGTTCGTTAAAAATAACAGGTGCTTTGTTTTAGCTGTGACCGATGGGAAATGAAAGTCAAGGCTGGTCAGCCAAAATATCGGAATCTTGCTTTCCTCTCGGACACTGTTACACAAGCTGTTATGTTTAATCAACTTGTTATTTGATGTTTAGGTTCACTGAAGCATAAAATTGATACCTTATGAAATGCAACACTGATGTCACTCAGCGAAGTTCCATAAAAAAAGATATATAGCCAACGATTTTCACAAGATGCTGTGCTTAGGCCGCCCTGCTTATATCTTCGTGTCTATATAAGACAACACGGGAGCACATTTTATACGTTGGTTGCAAAACAATAAAAAGGCCGTCTTTGAATATTATGGCAATACGTACGAAAATTACATTGTTCAAAGCAACTACTAAATACGCTACTTTCTGAACTTAAAACTACGCGTTAAACTGCAGCTATAAACACAAATGTGTATTCCTGCATTTGTTCTCTAATCTCTCTCCAATGTAATTCCAAGAATGCATCTCGCCATGCTTGTGTATGCTCTTCTGACTTTGTGTACTATTTTCCGGATATCTTCATTATACATGGTATCCTTGAATAACTTAATCATTTTTGTGCCTTGTATGTACATACGCTATTGGAATATTAGGATTTAAATATGCTAAGCCAAACATGACTTCAATAAAGCAAATACAATAGCGTATATTTCCAATAAGTGCAGAACAAGTAGCTGATTAAGATTTTTGTGTCAAAGTATTTTGGATGAATAGTTAATATTATCACAAGCATATATACATTATTTCTATAACTCCCATATTACCTGTGCTTTCTGAAACGATAAAGAATAAATACATCACAATGTATAGAGAGTTAACACTTTATACAGCAATTTTTTTTTAACAAATATGTCCAGCCGTCTAATAACCCACACCACAAAAACACAAACGGGGCAATTTAACTTAATGACGGGTAACTCTATTCCTTTATTATCATCAAACACAGTACTGAGTACTACATATCCTACATTTAGTTTTGAATGTTTGTGACATTTGTTTTTTTTTACCGGGTTTGTTTGAAAGTATGTTGCTAAATTTTGGTGACCTTTGACACTAGGTTACTATAAAAATCACAAGGATGTAAAAAATATAGGTAACGCATTTTTATATTGTGTCACTTTCAACAGGCTCTTTACACATTGTTTCATGGATGACTAAAATGACACCGAACCTATTTTCTTCGGTTGATAGTGTCAGTTTTATGTGTATAGTGGGTGTTTTTTTTGTACTATACGGTATGTGGAAGAGTACAATCAGTTCTGCAACATATCAGTGTGTGCTCTTAATACCAACTAAACCACCACGAGACCTCATTAAATATGTAATTATGTTCAGCATTTCTATAGTGATCACACCTATTACAAGCTATTCCCACTTTCATATGCTTACTGAATAATGTAAAACAAAATGATCGAAAAAGTGTATGGTGGATAGATTAGAATAGAAATTCAAAATGTGTCACCATACTTAAATGAGCTTTGGGCAAACAGTCCTGTGATTCCACATTCCTAAGGTGAAGACCAGTTTCTCAAACTCGAGTTAAATTATCGCAATGACAGTTGTTATTTTACCTTCGTGCACCTTGATTGTGTTGTTTATTACCTTTCATGGACAATAAGTTATACACACGTTGTATAGTTTTTATTTTATCCAGTGGATCATGGTGCATGGATTGAGACTATCACATTTGTAATTGCTATCCTGATCTTACCATTAAGAACCACCCAGAAAACTAGGAAAGTTAATCTGGAAAGCTCACTGGTCAATTGCTAACATTATTTCCGATGAAAAACTTAATTCATCTCCTTCATATTTTATGACATTAATTAACTGAAGCAGTTAAGAACACTTCATTCGAGAGGTAGCGAGTGGTTCCAGGGGCTAATACAACGTCAGAGCACTGAGCTGGTACCACTGGGCTAAAATCCAAGCAACCACCCGTGATTAAACGAGATTCTCAAGTGTAATGAGTTGATTGTCTCAATCCGGTCACAAGTGACGGCACAAAAAAATTGTCCCCGATGAGCCGGAGTCAGCGGTGGAATTTAAATATTCCTGTGGCAGTAGCAAGTCTCCCAAGGGTGGCCAATGTTGACTTCCCACAAAGTGGTACCTATTTTATTGACCCAGGACAGCTGATGAGCTGTCATGCCCTGAATGGGACCCGACCTCAGAATATTTTGATTGTGTAATGTACTCTATGAATATGATATTACGTTGTATTTAGTAGTCGTTAAATTCCAGTGTTATAGGAGTTTTAAGGACTGTCACGATTTCATATAATGCTTATACTTGAGTGTACTTTAGACATAACAGCTGAACATTGGTCATTTAAACGCTACAGTATTCCCTCGTTACTCACGAGGGATGCATTTCTGAGATGCCCGTGAATAGCAAATGTCGTGGATAATGATATTTTATTAATTGTCTTAAATAAACTTGTAAATACATGCAAATTATCATAATAACACATCACACTCTCTCGCATCACTCATTGCTTCATCTCTCATCACTTCATCTCATCATGTTATATCTCATCACTGCGTCTCATCACTTTCTTTCTCTCTCTGTCTCGATGCAGTCGTGTAGAGTCCCAGATGTGATTTGCGGAAAGCCAAAATCACGGATATCATTTGATATTTTGAGCAAAGCTGTATTGTTACAGCATCTGAAATACCTTGAGAAATGCTTCATCTCTGTGATAAACAGCAAAGGAAATTTACATTTGAAGAAACACACAACCCACGGGACACTCCAGTTGGAAGTGGTTTGTGCCAACGGCCTTGATTTGAATCCCACTTCACTGGAGAGATGCTCATATGCTGCAAAGATATTTAACTGATGTTTAAGTCACGATGTTTTCGTCTTTGTTTTTCTGATTGTGCTTGTTGGATGATGGAGTGTTTTGTTTTTCTTGTTTGTTAGTTGCTAGAATGCAATGGTATCTTGGTGTACTTCACAAACTGTGTGCAGTTATTTGGAGGCTTCATGTGTCAGGTACTTTATTCAATAATGATGATTTAAAAATTGGCAGCAAATTTCTAATTAAATGTAAACTAAGCTAAAAAATCAAGTGAGGTGCATGTTTGCAGTGCATTGTACACCGACAGTTCATATTTTAGAGGAAATAATTTTGCTGCCAGGAAAACAAATACAGCCAAATCTGCAGAAACTGGTGCTAATTTCACAACATTCTCATCAAATGTTAGTGAAAAGCTGCCATTCTACCAAACATGAATTAGGACCTACATATTAAAACTTTTTAAGCAAATGTGCTGACACAAACACTATTGTTCATAAACAATAAAATCTAACGAAATGTATCCATCACTAAATATAGATATCCAATAATGATTCCACTATGCATATGAATTACAGTACAGGCAACTGTATTGACAGTTTACGGACAAAAATGCAAAATAGACTTTCCATGTAGAGGATCAATGATCGATACCCTGGTTAAGCTGCTCAAAAATTGTAATACACTTAGAAAGACTTCTCTGATCATGATGTCACACAAACAAGTTTATAATGTCACATGATCCACGTAACTCCACGTGGTGATGTCACATGAATCAGTTTATAAATCTACGTATGAACAAAAACTGCATTCGTTAAGATTTAGTTCACAGAATGCATTTTCCATTCAACATTATCTATCCGTTTAATGTGCAATCCACGCTAGCGTAGGATAGCTCTAACTTCCAAGATTGAAACAGTTTTCTACACCTATCCCCAAAAACCTGTTCACCTCCCTATACGAGCATCCAAAACTCCCTACGCCAAAACCCCGGATGCAAACGCCTTCCACCATCTGGGACACTCCCGAACACTCATCGAACACTTGCTAAAAACGGACCCCCACCCTTGCTCTACTTATCGAGTCTTCAGCCGGACGAGGAGCCGAGGAGAGGGCCGGTGGCGGTGGCAGGCAGTGGGGAGGACGGTCACATGAGGATTTGGCGACGTGTGTCGGGCATGCGCAGCGCCACGAAGCCTCCCCCAACGAGCACGGTGGAGGCCAGCAGCACGGCCACCGTCTTCCCCGAGCCGACGGTGGAGTCAAAGATCACGTTCCCGAACACAGCCGCCAGTCGGCTCATGGCGTTCAGGAAGCCGAACGCCGTGGTCCTGCGCACACAGTCGACAGCCGTTGGTTGCGCAGGTATCATAATATTTGCGAGCCGGTGCTGCATACACCGATACGCCGTACGTACAGGGATCGCTGCCGCTGTGGGCTATCCTTGGCCAGGCTGCATCACGGCACTGGAATTGTTGAGATATGATGGATGTAAGGCATTTAAGTGCCTTATATAAAGACAAGTTCTCAACCGAGTACGAAAAGAAGTTGGGAGGGGGAGGCAAGACTGATCCATTTATATCACTCGACGCTGACGCTAGCCATGGCCGGGAATCAAACTCAGGTCACTTGGGTTTTTAGCGCAGTGAGCTAATCACTGCACCAATGCCCCAAACCTGCCAATGCTTTTAAAACACTAGTTCATGAAGCTTGTCTTCGCCAGGCAAACGTTTTCAATAAATATAATATAATAATTAACCTGATATTATTTTTTTTAATATGTATGTACGATCAGACACTAACAACTACTCCAAAAATGTGTATTTTTCATGCAAAAAAACTAAAATTGTTGACGACTTGATTCAGCATCTTATATTTAAAGATGTACCCATCAGAAACCGCTCAATTTAAAGATTCCGTTTATTTTATTTATTAGAAAAAACTTAAATTAATTAACTTAATACTCTATGACGGGAAGCTCCTATCTTTTACAGTTTCTTCAGATTTGAACATCATAAAATGCATTTTTTTTCGTTCAAAACCGCTTTAATCCGAAATATCTCAAGAACAATAAAAAATAGGACAATGGTTCTCGCTTACATTTTATTTGCCGCTTTACACTCTATCAAACGAAAAAACGCAATGTTATATTTTGAACCGTTTCTAAATGACAAGCAAAAACACTTAAAATCGAGATTTGGGGGCCTAAAAATGAAAAATCTCTTGATATTCAGATTTTTGTCTTTGTTTTTTTTGCATCCTAAAAGATACTTATGTACCAAATTTCAGCTTTCTACCTTGTCGGAAGTACCCTAGAGTTTTTTGAGACGTACATATAAAAGTATTTATATATATATAAGGTGGCCCACAAGTTAGGCTGGGAAACACTTTTGGGTCACCTAATTCACCCCAGGAATAGACAGCTGCAGGCTAGACATTACCCAGCGACCTATATGACGTAAGGTTTACTGGAAATATTAAAATAATGGCCTACATAAAAGGATACATCCAGCACTTTTCTCAAAGTAAGAATGTCTGATCAGCTTCCGAATATGTCCTCAGCTGTGGTATAAGAAGTACCCGTTGGGGTGTGTGTTGGTGCAATGCAACCACCTCTTGTTGGTCGGAAACAACTCGACAGTGATGACATTGAGAGCGTTCCAAGCGGAGATGCTGAGTCCATTAAAGAGACAGAGCAGCCCAATCATGGTGGCTTCGCTGCTCCCAGCCCAGAGGAATGAGCAGCTCACTCCCGACAGGATCATGGAGTTCCCTTAAGCAGAGGACCACATTCAATCAGCAAAATTAATATCAACCAAACAAACACAAACAAGCATTTGTCAATAACACTGTCTTAAAAGGAAACATATGTAGCAGGTGATGTTTCAGGTAGATGGTTCTTCCTCAGAGCACATAGAGACCAGAGAGATAAAGCAGATAAGACTTCCAAACTGCACTATACACCATGGGACCTGATGAGAATGACATTTTTCAAGTGTTATAGCTATTGAGTAACATACACATGTTTCAATAATCCAACTAATTGTATTACAAGTGATGTATCAAATGTAAACGTATTAAATAAGGAAACTTTTTTTCTAATACAATTCCAATTATAAAATGTTTCCGGCACATTGGATTTTGGGTAGAATTGTTAATGAAAACATAGTGAGCAGCATAATGCAATTAGTAATGAATTCCTGGGTAAATTATCACCTCAATAGTATGAAACATGATCACAAATAATGTGCAGATTAAATGTATCAAGGTAAATTCCTGAACCTTGCAAGCAGGGTTCAGGAAATGTTTTATATTTCAGTGTCTTTTCAGCCCATGATGAAACCAATAGAGACAATATCTATGATATACCCACAACAAGAAACAACCAATGTCATGACTATGTGTGCTTTCTTTCTGTTTAATACTAACAATGCTCACCGCTCAACTGACCTGCTAAACAAATTAGCCCAAGGAAGGTTTTCCCTGGATTGGAAAAATGGCCTCAATGGTCTTAATTGATGGAAAACCACATAATCTATGTGCATATATTCCGTTACACAAGCCAAAACCAGAATCCTGCATTATCAGAGGCGACCATAAATAAAATAGATGTATGACGCAAGCACACATTACCAAGGTTCCCATAATAACAACAAATATCCGGTCCTGTGTTTAAAAGATTAAATACCATATGCAATTAGGTGAAAGGTTATCACACCAAACATTATTTATCGCAAAAGGATAATGCTAGAGCAGTGTACAGATATTAGATTTCATAAAACAAAATATTCGCTGATACAAATGATCAAGAGAACATTTTATGTACATACATTTTTAGAGTGATATATTATGAGTAAGGAGATAATTTTGGCAATGCAATGTTTTGCTAAATTCATGGACGAAGTGTAGAAAATAAACAATCTTCCATGGAAATGTCACGGAATAAGATGGAGCAGTGCCTAACGTAAAATTGTATAATGAGAAAAAAACTGTAAATATGAGTGTTTATATGTTTTTTTTTCCTTTAATAAAATGGCTAAATTAAGTAATTATCTAAAGGCTTCGGTCATTTCAAAATTGTTTCAGATTTAATCATAAAAAAACTATTAAAAATATGCGCAGAGCATGGCATACGATATGTTTGAAAGAAAATATAGGACGCATATCATCAAATGTAATTCAGGGCAGGGCTGGCGCACGCCTGTAATTCAGTACTGGGGAGGCAGTGAGAGTTGATGGACGCACACATGTTGTGAAACTCCCTTCCCATGGCGGCCGAGGTGCCATATCCTGGCTCGCCAGAGGAATACAGTACAGCAAGTGGACTAACCGCCATCTGTCTACATCCGTACGAGGATACAGTGTTTCCCCAATTGCACGCACAGTGTTTTTTTTCCGGATGCTCCAGTTTCATCCCACTGATATAAACGCTCAGTGATTGAAAACATCTGAACATAAAAAAAACGCAATGCAGGACCCTCTTGAAAAAGAGTCCAGCGACTCATTGTAGCTTTCTTGGATAACGAATGAAAATGAGTATTAATGATTTGTGACCACCTTGAACTTCATGCCAAAATCGTAGCCTCACAGATCTAGATGTTTTGTTAACTTGATCACAAATAGCATCACCGTTCCGGTGGTCATTATTAACACTCTAGGGGCCGTCCATAAATGACGTCACGCACCTGGAGGGGGGGGGGGTCAGACATTTGTGACGATGTGTGACGAGAGGGGGGGGGGGGGTTTGAGAAATGTGACGTCACATCAAAATGCGCAACTTCAAATAAATATAGACACGTTCTACTTAATTAAATATACTTTTTAATAAATGTTTTCTCCTACACCATCAGAGTGCAGCGCCACATTAAATACGCACTACAATAAATATAGTTTAAAGCGATTTGAAGCATATTCTATTTTCAAAATGGAAATATGGTTTGGGGGGGGGGGGCAGAGCTTTGTGACGTCATATTTGAGGGGGGTCTTACTTTTTGTGACGCCGTGTGACGAGGGGGGGGGGGGTCAAAAATCGTCCAAAATCGCGTGACGTCATTTATGGACGGCCCCATATATAAAATATACAAATTCTCACTGGGTTGGGGGACAGAAGTGGGTAATTAGTTCCAATACGCAGTATGAAGGAATACAAAAATTCCCTCTTCCAGCCATTCTGCCGACAAAGCAATTTACAAGGCAAAACAAATAAAAGAATAACACGGGTGGGACAATAATAGTGTGAAATAATGTGAGATATTTTATAACAGACCTGACCATGTAAGCACTGGTAGAAGCAGTAGAGGGAGCTTACAGAGCAACACTGAGATTAAATCTTGATTTGAAGCTTTCGTGACTGCAGGAATCCATACTCTTTGGGTTCTTTCGGTAAAGTCACGTAGGTAGAAAATAAATAAATCACGACGTTTCGATCGCAACACAAGCAACCGTCATCAGGTGAGACAAACACTGAGATTGAGAAGAGAGGCAGAAGGGGGCTGAAGCATCAATAGGGCCAACAGCTTTGGCGTTATACCAAGAGGTTTTAGTGTTGACGGTGATGTACCAACCCAGATAGGGGCACAGACCCCAGAGATCAACGACCATAGAGGAGACCGAAGGCCATGGGGAGCCATGTGGTGGGATAGTGTATTAGAGCAGAGCCTCGGAGGTTGCATTGGTGATATGACAATAAACTAAAAACTGTTTTTATTTTACCAGGTAAAGCCCACAGAGCTACAGTATATAGCTCTTTTTCAGAAGCGATCTGCCCACAGGTGATAGCTCAACGAAGTGGCTTACCATGTTGACATTTATTGCAGCCAAATACTCCAAATGCATGTTTCTGAATGTGGAGGGAAACACCAGAGGACCCGGAGAAGTATACACGAGAACATGCAAACTCCAAACATACGGGCGTCAGAGTTGGGATCGAACCGAAGACCTCCTGTATACCAGGCAAGGTAGTTAACATCTCACCACTGTGGCGCCCAATGACAATGGGGTCCAGCAAAAGAAAGAAATGGCGAGGTTTGGTTAAATCAACAGCAATGACCGTAATATGACCCCTCAGCCTTGACCAGAAATACACACACTACTGTAGAGCCATGGTACCCTGCTGCCACATGTTGGGAATTAGGTGTCACATATAATGGCGTGACCCATACGGTGCAGCTTTCAGTAAACTAGTTCAGATAAGTATAAAAACAAAGTCTTTCTAATCGTCAATAACAAAGTTATTATTCAGAAAAATACATTTATCGATGTGCAGTAAGCATGAACAGATCTGCATTGTAGAAATCCACAAATAGGTTCACAAGTACAGCAAGATGACTGGTACAGAACATCGTCAATGACTAAATAATATCGTTGTGTCAGATTGGTTCTGCAATGAGCCAAACAACTTCAAAGATTCAAATACAGCACCCAAATATTCTAATTGTTCATAAATCAATCAATTAAATGTTAGCAGTCCATTTCTCATATAATATTGGGATGGAATTATTTCTGGTATACACATATATAGACATATTACTGGTAGGAACCCACTGGTTCCACCAGCCCACAGGGGATTATAGTGCCTGTCCGTCGTGCGGGGAGGGTGGGGCTGGGTGGGGAGGGTGGGGAGGGGCTGGGTGGGGAGGGTGGAGAGGGTGGGGCTGGGTGGGGGGTGGGAGGGGTGGGGCTGGGTGGGGAGGGGCTGGTCACCCCGTGGTGCCCTTATAAAACTCAACGTTAAACCTACTCACGCCGGCTTGTGCCCGCCCTCACAGTCGGGCATATTTACGGAATACACCACGCCGCTGTTGACCCTGGCCATTGACCGAGCAACCCAACGTTCCTACCAGCTCCCTCCGCAGGAATGTGTTCTTACCACTCTCTGCACAAATCAAAGGAACACTTCAACAAAGTCGATGAGATGGCAAATGAAACCTACTGAAGTGACACCGGAATTACTTTCGTGGCGCCATCTTTTTTTCCCTAACAATACAAGATTGCTGCCTTTAGGGAGTCATGCAATTAATGCCACTTCCCCTCATGCCCCTATTTAATACATTTTATTTAAAATCAGTAGGTGAAATCCCATTGATACAGCATACCAAAACCTTGCACTAATGCAGATTCACAATGCAAAGGAAAATATTCAACAGCAAAACAACATGTCCCCAAATGCCATGAGCTAATTCAACTTGCAATGTGTGGTGTTTCAAGGAATAAATAGGCAAAATCATGAATAACAGCCAGCCCTGAAGCAGGGCAAGGACGTAAAAGGTGACCAGGTCTCAGGTGTAATGAGTTGAGAGTCTCAACACATCACCGATGATCGTAATATTAAATTTAGGTTCCGCACTTAATTTGGCGAAATTGCAGCTCTGGGAATTGAACAATGTCATGCTCTGAACATTACTCGCTGCTGCAGGGCTGGTGGGAAAGTGCTGCCCATCTCCTTATTTTGGAGACCAGAGAAGTCCTGAATGCATCTTAGAGGTACTGTAGCTCTGTGGTATTCGGTTCCAGACGCATACTTCGTCTCATGTGACACCAATAGCACAATCGGGATCAAATGTGTGGGGACAAGACAAACAAAAAGTTGCTAACACAATCTACCAGTGTGCCCAATCAATCAGGTCCCAATCGGAAAGACTCACACTTACCCACAATCATTGGTGTGTCTCTCTGGTAATAAAATGACACGTACAAAGATTACAAATATAGCCTACATAGACTATTACAGAAAAGTGGTGTTAGAGAGCACCTAATGAGGCCTAAACAGTACAT